GACTAATAGTGAAGGTATTAATAATCTCATCAAATTAGTGTGGTATTCACCATCCAATTAGATTAGTAGGATAATTTATCCCTTTGTCTATTGTTTGATTTGCATTGAATAAGAAAACATATGAATGTAGGATTACAACTATATTTATCTTCTTTTCCAATCTTACCCTCCATCAATATTTCTTCACAATCTTTACTTTATCAAAATTTCTTCATAAATATGGTTTTGAAAAAAATTATAAATAAATAAATAAAAACAAAATAAAAATACAAATACAAAGGCCATGTTTGGTTTGTTTTTTAATCTTTTTTTTATATAAAAAATATAAACTAATTTGATAAAATAAATATCAAAAAATATTTTAAAATTTTAAAGCTTATTTTTAGCCTTCTAAAATATAAAATTATATAAAAATAATAAGTGTTTGAATTTTTAGTCAAGGGTAAAAGAGTCTTTTTATTTTATTTCTCACCTCAGGATATATAATCTCACCCTTACCCCATTATTAATAATCATACAAATTTATTGAGTTAATTATCTATTAGATTAATAATTCTGAAACAAAATTTTAAAATAAACACAAAATTATTGAACATATGAATTAATAACTTCAATCTCATATTCCAATCCTGTCAAACACAGATGCTCTTCATGTTATGATGCTTTGGATTAGGAGATAACTTATGACATCGGTTCAATCCAACCTCATTATTGAACCACAAGAGGAGAAAGTCAAATAAATAAAATGTTGACCATAAAGGTGGGTGGGTTATTTTTCAATCACACTAATTTGATACTTAAATTATGTTATGTTACCATGATTTTATGAATTGACAGGTTGGAATTTTTATGAATCTCACTTTTCTAGTCCTGATATGCTATGATTGATTCTAGCTAGTGAGAGAGCCCCCTAAATAAGTGTAAGAGGGGCATACAAAAAAAAAAGGCCAATTACCGAAACTTGAAAGATCAACTACTCATTCTCAGGTTGGGAGGAAACACAAAATTCACCAACCAACTCAATAGATCGAAAAAGAATAAAGATCAGCAAAAGTGCCAGTCACCTCTTGATCGGACATTATGGACACTGGGCAGCAGTGTGGCGCCAACTTTAATTTGACAACTTTAATTCGAAATTAAAATATCATCAGTTGGGGTGGATCTGAATAGTTTTGGTATTCTCTTAAATGAGAAGATTGTAATACAAAAATAATGAGTTGAAACCATTGAGTTGTGAATGAGAATTGTCTCATAAAGTGGGTATTAATAAAGTTGGGTTTAGATTTGGACTTAGTATTGGTTTGGACTGGACCTAAACTTAAACTTGTGCATGTGCAGGGTTTGGTCTTAAACTTGGATTTGGACCTAGTCTTAAGCTTTAGATTGAGCTGTGCTGGGCTTAGTTTGTACATGTGTTTGAGATTGAGCTTGGATCGGGTTGTGACCCAACACCCGTATCTATTTTGCAACCCATCTAGTTTAATTCTCAAAACTTATACATTATATAAACATTATGATTTATATAATGATTTTAGAGTTTTGAACCTTTATAACTCTAACCCTAATGGCTAGAGTTGATGACATTTGATGACCCCATTGATGTTAGCCTTCATGACTAAGGCTTTCCCCTACTAGTATAAATAGAGGCCTTTCTCCTCTAACTTAGTAGGTTGTTTTTTAGAGAGGTTTTGTGATGGAAAATGAGATGGTATTTTGAAATAAAAAGTTGGAGATGATTTTGTTAGGAATTGACCATTCCTAACCAAAATCGGTGAGACACGAAATAACAAACAAGAAATAAATTAACAAATCAAACAAATCACACACACAAAAACACAAGGATTTACGTGGTTCACCCAAGAATAGGGCTACGTTCACAGCTGTTGTGGTTTTCACTATGATTAGAAAAATACAACTCTTTCTTAACCTAAAAGAGACGTCCGCTCACCTATTTATAAGTATAGAATTAGGGTTTCACGGAAGCACATGGGAATTATAAAAGTACCCAAAAATTTCGGCTAGAGGGGGCAAACAGCCCCTAGACCCCCTTCCCTCTTGGAGGGAGGCCCCCACTCCCCAAACTTCCCATTGGACCTAGTGTTTGAGTGAATAGTACTTATCAGGATTCACTAATCCAACAATCTCCCACTTGGAACCTGATAATACAAGCTCTCCATCATCTTCATCACATAGAGGAATGCCGCAACAACTCGATCTTCCTTCATCAATCTTGAAGGCCAACTGAAGTTGCACACAACTTCAATTTGTCAATGGTGACTGTCTTGGTCAACATATCTGTTGGATTCTTACTACCTTAGATCTTCTTAAAGAGACAAAACTCCATCATCTACAAGTGAACGAATGAAATGGTATCGCAGCTGAATGTGTTTTGTCCTAGAATGAAAAGCCGGATTCTTTGCAAGATGAATAGCACTTTGATTGTCACTATGCAAAATACTCATCTCTTGCGTCTTACCCCACTATTCTAGGAAATTCTATGACCAAGTCATCTCCTTCCCAGCTTCAGTTATAGCAACATATTCAGCCTTTGTTGTAGAAAAGGACACAATCTTCTGTAACTGTGAAATCCAACTCACTGCTGTACCACCCAATGTGTAAAGATAACCACTAGTACTCTTTCTGTTATCCATATCACCAGCCAAGTCTGCATCAACATAACCATGTAACCCAATGCCGGTTCGTCTGAAACAAAGTGTCATGTCTGTAGTACCACTCAAGTATCTAAGGATCCACTTCACTGCCTCCCCATGCTATTTGCCTGGATTACTCATGTACCTACTAACCACTCCCACTGCATGTGCAATGTCTGGTCTAGTACAAACCATAGCATATATTATGCTACCGATAGCTGAAGCATATGGAACATGTTCCATATAAGCCTACTCTTCTTCGGTCTTCAGAGACTGTTCTTTGGTAAGTCTGAAGTGGCTAGCCAATGGAGTGCTCATTGGCTTTGCACCATCCATGCTAAACCTCTTGAGAGCTTTCTTGACATACTCAGCCTGTGACAACTTCAAAGTACCATTTGCCTTGTCCTTGTGAACCCTCATACCAAGGATTTTGTTTGCAACTCTAAGATCCTTCATCTCAAATTGGTTGGATAAAAGTTTCTTTAATCTTTTTTTCTCTTCAATGCTAGATCCCGCGATAAGTATATCATCAACATATAAGAACAAAATAATATAACTTTTGTCAAATCTCTTGAAACAACAACAATGATCTGCTTGACATCTTGTAAAACCACTGTTACACATAAACCCATCAAACTTCTTGTACCATTGCCTTGGGGGATGTTTTAAACCATACAAGCTTTTTTGAAGTTTGCATACAAACTTTCCTTTGCCACGTGCCAAGAAACCTTGTGGTTGCTTCATGTAAATTTCCTCCTCCAAATCACCATGGAGAAAAGCCGTCTTCACATCTATCTGCTCAAGATGCAAATCTACAACAGCCACAATTCCCAGTACCGATCTGATAGTGGTCAACTTCACAACTAGAGAGAAAATTTCAGTGTAGTCAACCCCTTCTTTTTGCTGAAATCCCTTTGCAACCAATTTGGCCTTGTAGCGTTTACTCCCATCATGTTCCTGTTTGACCCTGTAAACCCACTTGTTGTGCAAAGCTTTCTTACCCACTGGTAATTCAGTCAACTCCCATGTCTGGTTTTCCATGAGTGAATCCATTTCATCCTGCATAGCTGACTCCCACTTAATTGAATCGTCAGTTTGCAAAGCCTCATCATAACTTTCAGGTTCACCTCCATCAGACAACAACAAATAATGTAAAGATGAAGACCAACACTGTGTAGGTTTAGACTCTCTTTCTAACCGTCTCAACTTAGGAGTAGGAGTATGTGGCTCAGTTTGTGGAATAAAATTTTCAGGATTATTCTGAATCCTAATATTCAAATCACTCTCATTAATCTTCTCTAACTCATCATGCTCATGACAAGTAACAGATTCAGATTCAGATTCACACGCAGACTTGTCCCTATCTTTATACATTACTTTCTCATTTACGGCTCCAAGCTTCTTCTGGTAACTCTCCATCCAATGGAATAGATGGACCACAGTTAATCAAATATGTTGTAGTGTTACCTTCATCTATCCAAAACATCTTTGGTAATTTGACTTGTATCCTCATACTTCTAGCACGTTTATTCAGAGTTCTACTCATGCGTTCTGCAATGCCATTCTGTTGAGGTGTCTTTCGACCAGTCTTCTCTATTCTAATTTCATTGTCTGCACAATATTTCTTGAACTCATTGTCTTCATATTCCCCTCCATTATTTAATCTCAAGCACTTAATTTTCAGACTTGTTTCAGTCTCCGCCAAGGCTTTCCACTTCTTAAAAGTAGTATAGGTAGCGTTTGGTAGAGTTTTGTAAATGTGATTTGAGAGTATGAGTTGTATTTTGAGTTTATGTGTTGTGGAATTATGATTTGAGTGTAGAAAATTTGTTTGGTAAAGAGTTTTGAAAATAGTTTTGGAAAAGAGGTTTGATTTGAGTGGGGAATTATTGATGTGACATTTGATATGTAATACAAAAATTTACAACACATAACTAAATATACAATTCAAAATTATTTTAAAGCACACAAAAAATTTAAAAAATTTCAGAAAATATTTGTCCCGATTATGTAAATCAATTGCAAAAAAAAAAATCTGGAAATTAGCCGGACATCCGGGTGGACATCCGGGTGGTCTACTGGGTGGACATCCGGGTGGTCTACCGGGTGGTCTTCCGTTGGACAGAAAACACGCCTGTGTGCACAGAGTTCTCTGCAGAGAGCGTAGAAAATTGATTTGAAAACGTAACCAAACATCATGCTCCAAAACACACGTAGAAAATTGATTTGAGAATACAAACAAACAGAGCCATAAACTTTAGATTTATGTTTCAGAAAATAAACCCATACCTTTTCTCATTGAGTCGTCGATAACTATAACATAGTATGATGATCCTCCAAGAGATGAAACTAGTGCAGGTCCCCCCACACATCTGTATGAACCAACTCCAATTTTTCTGACTTCAGTTTCCTGTCATCCTTTGAAGAACTGCCGAAGATGCAATCCTTACAAAAGTCAATGTCCACCGATTTCAAATTTGACAGTTTTCCCTTAGATGCCATTACCGTCATCTCTTTTTGGCTCATATGCTCAAGCCTTTGGTGCCACAGATTTGAGTCTTCCTTCTCACCAGCAACTGCTATTGCATTCCTATTGTTCGTAGTCATGTAAAGGGTGCCTTCTTTTTGACCACGAGCAACAACCATGGTTCCTTTGGTGATTTTCCACAAATCACCCACAAAGGTTACAACATGACTTTCATCATCAAGTTGTCCAATAGAAATCAAGTTTGTTTTCAAACTAGGCACATGTCTGACATTCTGTATCTTCCAAACAGATCCGTTTGGCAACCTAATTGTTACATCCCTTCACCGCAATCTTCAAAGGTTCATCATCAACCAAATAAACCTTCCCGAAATCACCACCAATGTAATTGTCCATGATTTCCCTCTGTGAAGTAGAATGGAATGATGTCTCAGAATCTAAAATCGAAGATTCAAGAGGGCTGCCAATACTCAAGATCAAGGCATCATAAATCTCATCCGTTGCAGCATTAGCAGACTTCTGATTTTGATCACCTTTGTTTTTATTCAATGTTGGGCAATCACCTTTCGATGTCCCTTCTTTCCACAATTCCAGCAACTTCGCCCCTCTCCAGTTCTTGACTTACTTCTGTGTTTGGATTTTGATCTGTTACGGTTCGACTTTTTTCTTGCTGATCTTTCTCTGGCTTCTGTATTCAGGGCAGAACCTGATGTTTCCCCTAATTCCCTCCTGTGAATTTCTTCACTCAGAATTAAATCTCAAATATCATTGTAATTTAACTTTTCTTTTCCTGAAGAATTACTTACTGCTATTATAGTACCATTCCAACTTTCTGGCAAACTAGATAGAAGAATCAAAGTCCTAACCTCATCATCAAATTCGATAGATATAAAACTCAATTGTGTTACCACAATATTGAATTCGTTCAGATGCTCAACCACCGAAGCACCATTTGTCATCCTCAGATTAAACAATCTATGCATCAAATAAACTTTATTTGAGGCAGAGGTTTTTTCATACATGTTTGAGAGTGCCGCCATGAGACCCGCTGTAGTCTTCTCCTTCGCTTGCACTAATCTCTTGTAAAATTTAGAAAAAAATACAATAAATTTTACAATTTTGATATAATTATACTGACATGTTTTTTTATATGGTTAAATGGACCGAACTAATACAAATGTTATGAAAACACAAATATAAACAACATTAAATATGATATTTTTTCATATAAAAGAGATAACAATATTATTTTTTTTTTTCATTTATTCACCTAATAAATTATTGATGAATATTGTTAGGAATTGACCCTTCCTAACCAAGATCAGTGAGACACGAAATAACAAACAAGAATGAAATTAACGAATCAAACAAATCATACACACAAGAAAACAAGGATTTACGTGGTTCACCCCAGAATAGAGTTACGTCCATGGCTGTTGTGGTTTTCACTATGATAAAAAAAAATACAAGTCTCTTCACCTAAAAGAGACGCCCCCTTATCTATTTACAAGTATAGAATTAGGGTTACACAGAAGCACATGGGAATTACGAAAGTACCCAAACTCCCCATTAGACCTAGTGTTTAAGTGAACAGTAGGGTTGAGTGACCAATACTTATCAGGGTCCACTGACCCAACAGATTTTTTATACCAAAGAAAATTTTTCCTATCTTCTTTTATTAGCCTCTTCTTTGGTTCTTGTTAGAGAGAATACAGCCATTGTCAAGTTCGCCGAAGCTATTTAGAAGGTGCTTCTGCATTAGCTGGTTTTGACCGTCGTTTCCTGGGGGACAGATGTCGGCATACCTCTAGCACCCATCGAGAGGCGGTGAATCTATTTTAAGGAAACTGTGGTATTACATAGGTTTCGGTTTGCTTCTTTTCTTATTATTTGTTCTTTAATTTTTTAGAATTTAGTTTACCTCGACGAGTTCTAATATTTAGTTATCCATGTTAATAATATGTTCTTTTAGTAATGTAATCTAATTTATTTCTGTATTTGATTGTGTCGTTTATTTTGTATTTCATCCTTTAATAAAAAAAATTATTTTGTCACTTCTATTTGATTTATTTTATATATTTTTCTTATATTATTATGAAAAAATACCAACACAACTTCACTAATGGTTTAGATTCATTTAGATAAATCCAAACAAAGAACTTCAATCTAACTAGAATTATGAGATTATTTATCTGGGTTCACAACTTACCCCTTTAAAAATTATACATCTTATACTTATGCTTTAAGGTTTTGATGATGGATCGGTCACTGTGGTGACCAAAGGTGGAGCCAAGGCTTAACCAGTGGCGTCCATGTTATGTCACACCACTGAATATTTAAATATTAGTATTATATATATAGATTTTTATTGAAAACTAGTGTATGTCTATGTCTAAAGGCACGATATAAATAATATTGAGATCAAAATGTAATTGTAATTTATACGTATCATGTTAAAATTTATAGAGTCTATAACAATTTTTGGTTCTCCTTAAAGAACTTTTAACAATTTTTCTTGTACTACAACGCACTACAGACCGCGATTAAAAATAACAACTCCCCCTAGTCTTAATGCAACTTAAGGCATAAATATATAAAATTTATAATGTTCACCAAATATTGCAAATCAAAATAGTAAAATTTAGAGTAAAAAAAATATAAATCTACAAAATTTAAAATGGTAAAATAATGTTCTGCAATTATAAGAAAATGAAATTAAAATAATAATAAAGGTTTAATACTTATTATGAACTAGTTTTTTTTTTTTTAAGAAGATAACTTAAATTATCCATAATTTTAGAGGTCGTTGTAGCTTAGTATTGCCAAAATTTGAAATTTTTTCTGAAAGTTAACTTCACCAAAATACAACGTTCAAATAGTATACATTAATGTGTATTTGAAAGGAGAAAGATTACGTACACACCTAACCTTTGACATAGTGTGCACAAAGTAATTGTCCCGAAACTTGCACCCATAACCTCAAAGTTATTAGGCAAAGATTTTACCATTGAACCAATGGTCACCCCCATGAAAGTTAACTTCACTAAATACATACACTACAAGAAATAACACTTCTAGCAACCAAAAAAATGGTCGCAGAAAGATCATATCTAGTCGCTAATGATTTTTAGCGACCAAAAAAAGTTGGTCGCTATGTAGTCACTAAAAGCTAGTCACAGAAGGTTTTTAGCGACCAAAAATAAAGTTGGTCGTGGAAAGCAGGAATTTGTGACCATATATGTTGGTCGCGGAAAGTATTTCAATTTCTCGAAAGTAGTTCATTTTGCGACAAAAAATCTAGTCGCTAAAATATGATTTTTAGCAACTAAACATAGTTGGTTGCGAAAAGTAGGAATTTGCGACCATATATGTTGGTCGCGGAAATCATTTGAAATTGCTTGAAAGTAGGCCTTTTTGCAATGAAAAATTTAGTCGCTGAAAGATAACAATTGCAACCATCGATTTGAGTCACTGAAATGTGGTTTTTGGCGACCAAAACTATCTTAGTCGTGAAAAGTCTAGCACAACAACTGCTTGTCAAGGACCTATTGAGACTAAAATTTTATTGGTTGCAAAAAAGTTTTCAATTTTAAACAGCATATATAATGCTATTTTTGTTTGTAATACCTGTAATACACTTACAATTAATGCATAATTCATGTCCATCCAATTAATTTGAACATACCAATCCATCAACAATCCAATCTACAAACAAAACACCATCAAAAGGAAGTCAAAATAATAATTAATCCATCTAATTACTACCATCTGTCAACATGAATACACAAATATTTGACAAAATAACCATCTATCCATCCATTTACTTTACAAAAATTACCATCCATCCATCCATTTACTTTACAAAATTACCATCCATCCATCCATCTATCCATTTAATTTACAAAATTGCCATCCATTCATCCATTTAGTTTACAATGAATATTCACCAAATCAAAACATATATGAGAAAATTGTCAAAGATTTCAAAAACCATTCATATCCAAGTGCGTGTTATATTTGTTTGATGCAAAATATATCAAAAAGTCCATATATAACCATAACTTAGAATTCATGCACCGGTAAACTGATCATGTCCATAAACAAGCATGACTACACCTCTAGCTACCTGCAAGGGGAAAAAAAAAATAAAAAAAAAAAATTGAAGAAAGCATTGTTAATAATAATATTTTTGTTTACACTTCTATTTAATTTTGTAAAAAATTTTCGATCTAATTCCACTCCCAAACTAGCAACCACACAGAGCCTTATTAACAATCACACAGAGCCTTCTGAACATCATGATCACATCTTAACATATTGTATTAAGATGATGATTTTAACATATTCGATTTCACTTAACATATATTAAGTTTCCTCCCCATGATACAAACCCATGATGGTGTCCGTCAACTCTTTCTAAATTATGTTTTTGGGTGTTTTATCCTAATGCTTCCATTTAATGTGTCATCTTCATCAGTTAATTTGTTGTTATTTCCTTCAACTGAATAACACAAAAAGTAGAGAAAATACAGGCAAATTAACATAATTTACCTATTACTGAAACAGTATGAAAAAGAGATCAGTGTCATCTTATAACATTACTTTTCTGTTATCACAGGTCAATCATGCCACATGAGTTTTTCTATAAGAAAAAGGGTTACCTAGCTTAATATTTTGCCCAAGATAGTCTAACCAAACCAAATCAAACTAAGCCTTGTGTCCCAACAAAGTAGGGTTCACTACATGAATTATTTATTGTCATTCCACTTTGTCAAGGACAATATGCTCAGTTATTCACGAAGATATTCATTTTTAATTTTGTCATGTCGAATCTTACTATATATCCATCAAACATATACTAGCAGCAAAAGGAACATGTCCAAGTATATGCATACAAACTAGGAGATCAATGGCAGTGGTCATAGAACTATATATGCAAAACATGTCAAAGCACAAACAATAATGTTATGCAATTATAAGAAAATAAAATTAAAATAATAATAAAGGTTTAATACTTATTATGAACTAGTTTTTTTTTTTTAAAAAAAAAAGACAACTTAAATTATCCATAATTTTAGAGGTCGTTGTAGCTTAGTATTGCCAAAACTTGTAATTTTTCTGAAAGTTAACTTCACTAAAATATAATGTTCAAATAGTATAC